ATATTAGCATTTATTAGCATGTTCCGTTGACATTACTTTCGTGGAATCATTCGCCATTTGTATGGACATTTATGGAAGACACTCACTCAGATCAAAAAAATCCGAACTTTGATCAGAATTACAAACTTGTACTCTTCTACAGATGAATATGAATCACCTGAGTTATTCCCCGATTGAGTTCATCAATGAATTTAAGAGCACAAATTTGACGCCGAATGTGACTTAAAACCTGATCTCATTTGCTGGNATAACGACAAAACAAGCATAAAATATAATTAACCTTAGCAGTTTCAACGTCTTGTGCGACAATAAAAAAGCTATTGATGTTCACAAGATCAACGCCATGCGTCATCCAAATGGTTCGTTCCTCCAGCGTTTCCCGAGGACCACGTTGCTCTAACTCGAACAGCACTCGACCGTCTTTTGGCAAACCCGCTGGGCGTGCCTCCCATACCTGGTATTTGAAAAAAAACACTGATTTATGCCAAACAATAGCGAACGACATTCGAATACCCTGAATTTGCGATTTACGGATTGTGTAAGAACGACTGCTAATGCAGTATAGTGAACAGCAGTGAAGTGTTTACCTGGACAAGATCGATGACAATCGTATCGCGTCCTTCGCATGCCCAATACAAGAAAAACCCGTACTCATCGACACGAAAGTGGGCATTGAGATCCAGACAAGTACTCTCCTTCAAAATTATGCATCTATCATCAACAATAACTACTATATTTATCAATTGTGATCATATCATAGTGATATAATCACGATAAATATTGTAGGATTTGGTGGATTTGAAGAACTGTTAGCAAATTGAACGAGTGGACTTAACTCGGGAAATAGTATTTGCTTAGAAATTGCTGCATGTGACCGAGAAAGAGGTTAAGCATTATTTAGAGCATAGTCAAAAAATGATCTGAAAGAGCGTTTTGAGTGAGGAATGAAATGGAACCAACATCGTCGTATCGATCGAAGTATGATCCCAGCAGAAGTGTTTCAGAAATATTTGACCTCCAATTGAATTGATACTCCTTGGCCATCGCGAGATTGGCCGTTAGTGTGCCTCTCGCATTACCAGCCAATTACTGAAAATTGAGATGTTTTTCAAATGCGATCTCTCATTTCCAAATTCTGCACTCTCCAAAACTGCTGGAGAATTTCGTTCGTCCACGTTTAATAAGCTTGAAGTCGACGTTTCACGCAAATACGTTCGCTGTTATATTCTTAACGAGTGCCAAATAATCTTGAGCAGTTGTATGCATATATATGGATCATCAGGTATGCGAAGATTACTTTCAGTGAAAATCGAACCAATCGTGACCTTCCCTGATCGATCGGTCAAGAACAATACTACAATCCAACGCAATAGGCAATCAACGAAACACTACAAAAGACAGAAACAACGAAATTTCAGCGTAACAGCGATAAAATTTGAATCTCAACTTCAGCCTAATTGTAAATAAAAAATACATTTATTCCGCTGAAATCAGCAAAATCGCAATAGTAACAGTTCAGTCAACGCGATTCTACTCACAATTAGTATGAGAATAGAGGAAATCAACAGGTCGATTACGAAACCGTGCGCAATTCGGCGAATATCGTTTCAAGCTGTAAAATATGCAAATTTATCATGCAAATACTAAATTGCGTACGTACTTCAAGTTGGTTTATCCTTCGTCGGTTTATTGTTCGTCAGCTTTCGGACGTATTCTCTTATCAATGAAATGGGATTCGTAGAGAATCGCACGGTCACAGAATATTTCACTTGCAAAACAAATGTTTATAGCAGTAGTTGGTGAGAAAAAGGATTCATAAAGTCGCAATATACGAGAGATAGGATCCCTCATAACTTACTATATGAGATATAGGATCGATCCTTTATAAGCTTTGAAACGAATGATAGATTAAAAAAAATTTTCGGCATGTCTATGGGGTAGGAGGAAATTTGTGGTTAAAAATGAAATATTTCTCGTGAAAAAGGTTTCTTCATGTGTTTAAATTCAATACAAATGTTGGTTTCGTTCAGAGAAAAAGATTTTTTCATCAACGCTGTTGTTGCTTATGAAAGTCTTAAATAACGCATAAACACATGAAGGAAGATACACATCGCGATTACACTTATACTATTTACGATAGGATCGGAAGACTTCCGTTTGGTTGATATGAACAAGAAAATGAACTCATTGGAAAGTAAGATGGAAATAGAATAGTCATAATCAAACACTGAAAACATTCAACTGAATAAAACAACAGGAAGTAGAATGGAGAGGAGTGTAAAAGTAATGCAAATTGCCTCATAAACACAAGAAACCATCGAAATATCACAATTAAAATAAACATTTCCAAACAAACGATAAACTTTTAGCTAAAACAAACGAGTGCATGAATATTTTTTACGTTGGCTGAAAAATTTTGCCCTTCAAATGGTCAAATTTGTTAGATTTCTAATGAGTTATTTGCAAGCAATGTTTTAAGGAATATCATTTGGTCGATTAGCACGCCTTCAATGGATCAGAGATCCTTGGCTGACTGGNGAGATACATATTTTTTTTAAATATTCGGTCTCTATGATCATTTCGAGTTCATTTTAAATCGACCTGATATATCTGATTAATCGAGATTTCCCCTGATACAGCTTCGTGATCTAGTTTTTACGGCAAACAGGTGAATTGTCTATTGTTGGTTATGATAAATGAATGAAATAAAAGAAGCAATAAAGCCAAATGGGTTGAAAGAAAGCTTGAATGCTAGGCCAAGTTCATTCGACCTTGTGCAAGCAAAAAATTCTCCTAACGATAAGTAGAAGAGATATTTGCACGTTATTAGTGTCGGAGTAATGTGATTACTCACGAATCAATAATACTGATAGTACGAGAAGCAATGAAAAAGTCGGCAAAACTTATGAAAACAAGAGCTGTAAGAAAGGTTGTAAACCGCTAAGATAGATGTACACTCATAATCCATTTATTTGTTTAAGTGATCATCACATCAAATTCATTTATATTACAAACACATGCTTACGTTCGTTCGCATTTGAACCAACTTAACGTTAAAATGTTATAACCTCTTCAATCAAAACTTTGCTTAACCAATATCGATCAACGTGATAAACAGTCGCAAGTCTTGCAAATTTCAAGACTCGACATTCACTCGATTTTATTTTTCGTTTGGAATTTCGCTTTCAATCCATCAGATCAGATGAAGATCAGTGCGTTGAATTCTCAAAATATGTCGGATAGTGAGCAAGAGAAGCACGCACGACAGCATCTTTCTACGATCTTGTATCGTTTATCCTCTCGCATCGTGAATGGCAAAAAGGATTCATGAAAGGAGTTCTTTTTTTATTTGCTAAAAAATTTCCATGTATAGTAGTCATCGAAACAGCAACAGTTGTTGTGCGAATTCGAATGCAGTGAATCGAGTAATTCGATTGGTATCGATGAGTCCATACAAATTTATCCAATTCGATCAATGTGCTCAGTTGCTACTAAGTGCAGATGAGTGATGTGCAAAAGCAACAGTTTTGACTATGTCATTGCGAGTAGTCAATGTGGTGATGGATTGATGAAATACGTTTGTTCAGGTTGAAATTTTTGGATGTGATGGGGAGAGCTATAAATGAAACGCAATTTGAAATGAGACATTTTGGTTATTTCGATAGAATTGCTTTTGTCGCGTGAATTTGTAAAGGTGATAAAAATTGAAAAGTAAACGCATCCAAATGATATGTTGTGTTGACACGTTGAAGCTATCAAGCCTCAGCTAGCACTGTACGATTACGATCAGGCTTTGTTGCGTATCCGATTATACTCTTGTAATTGGTTGGCAGATAAACATATTGAAACGTTGACCAGCCAGTCGGTCACCAGTCACTGCTCGTAATATGATAGCGATGATACGAATGGATAAATTGATCGTTTGTCGGTTGTAAGAACGACCAGGAAAGAGATTGAATGCAGAGGAGAAGCACGATCAAGAAATGCGCATTTTGATGACGGTTATCAATAACAATCCAGGATGCAGAATTTCGCTTTTTTGATTTTGAGTTTTTAGATTCATCTAAAAATTGTGGCCGTCCAGAGATCAAAGAATTCAGTTTTGTGTTGCTGAAAGTTACGATCTTGTGAAATCCACTCGCAAATAGATAATATTAATTCAAAATATTGCAAATCTTTCCGGTGGATCAGCAGAAGATCACACAAATGCTACTGCTAACATCTGGAAGTTTTCATGTGAGGTGAACAGCTGCAAAATGAGTTTTTCGGAACGAAGCACTCAGCGGAGGCATGTTCAAATGAATGAAAGGTATTCATTTGTTGGCATTGATTGGTGAATGAGTAATGATATCAACGGTAAATTCTTGTTTCATACAACGGCGAAATAACGGCGCAATGTGAAC